AGAGAGACAGAAAAAGGCTGTCGTATAAATAGAGAGCGATAATGTTTTTTTGAATTCAGTATGCTGCGAGGTTTTGATGTGCGCAGTTGTGCACTTGTGTTCTGAAATTTGAATATTTTTGTGGGCTTACTGTTACTGTAATTCAATAGAGACCGATCCACCAATCAAGGAAAGCCATGCCGCCGGAAAGTGATAGCGATGTGGAGATCATAGAGACGGAATCTTTTGATTGTCGTAACCATCATCGCCGGCCGGAAACCCTTAGGTTTCCAGCCAAGATGTTCACACAAATTCCGCCCGGCATCCCCTCTCCACCATTTTCGCCCAGTGATCCCATAGACATGCCTCTGCTCAAGGAGGCCTTGGCCCACAACGGACATCTGAATGTTCCAGAAGGATTCGTTTTGTGCATTCCGTGTTATCTATGCAAGCAGCCCTTCAACGACTACGAATCGCTCAAGGAACACCTGATCCAACATGCGGCGGAGATCACCTCCTGGAATACATCTCGTGCGCAGGCGCAGGAGCCTCAGCCTCCGCCAATGATGAAACCCTATGTTCACCCCGTCAATCAGCCCTTCGTGCATCCCATAGAACAACCTATGTTTCACCCCATCCATCAGGGCATGGGTCATCAGCTGCAGTTCCACATGGCCATGAACTTTGGACACCAGCCGCCACTCGATCTTTATTCACCGCCCCTCGAACCGCCGATGGCATATCCAATGCCTCCGACTCATCACCATCCGAATCAGATTCAACCACCCATTCATTATCCCATCCAACAACCACTGGAATTCCCAGGACCAGGACCAGGACCTCGGCTTTTACCCATGCCATCCCAGTTTTCGCAGGAAATGCCTGTTCAACCTCAAGTAATCAAATCCCATCTGAAGAACCCTATGTTTCCGCGGGAAATGCATAACTTATTTGCCCCCGAGACGGGATCTCCTCCAGTGGAGAAGCCACCAGTTTTGGTAAAACCGAAATCACCAGATTCTTCACCAGCTTCGACACCATCTCCAGCTCCAGCTCCAGCACCGGATCCAGTCTCGGTTATCACAAAGCCACGATCACCGGTGCTGATTAAACCAAAAGTCCCCAGGCAGTCGACATACCTTCGAGGTCAGTTCGAGTGTGATTGGTGCGGGAAGCGTCTGAGCTCCCGCCAATCCCTGAGATACCACGAGAACCATTTCCACGCTGAGGAGGAGCTGCCCGAGAATGCGGTTGGCAAGGAGGTGCAGAAGCAGCACAGGTGCCCCACCTGCAAGAAGCGCTACAAGAGGCGCACCTTTCTTCTGATGCACATGAAGGTCAAACATGGGATAGTCCGGTCGCCCAAAAGTGTTTCCGAAACGGAGTCCCCAAGTGACGCAGATGCGCCTGCGCCGCCGGCAGAGGTTCCGGTTTCAGTCTCTAACAAATCTTCGCCGACCGAAGAACCGAAGAAGGAGATTTGGAGCACTCAAATCTACAACGCCGTAGCCGCAGCCAAGTATAATCCAGCCAGCGAGCGAGCGGACAAGTATCTCAGTGCGCCACGTCAGCAAACGGAGCTTCTGGAATCGGGTTTTAAAACCACACCGAAGCGAACGTATCCACTACGTTCGCCGTATTTCAATCCGTATGTTCACATAAGACTTATTACCATCTTGCAACCCCTCTGAATTCTTGGTTCTTTTTAGGGATCTATGGCTGGGCTGCGATGCATACTTATAAGGAAAACTTGATTGGACTTTGGGAGAAAACCCCCAACTGGAATATTAAATATTCGAGCTATCGAGCCCTATCGCCTTTAAGCGGATGTCAGCAGAGCTGACTACTCTAAGTCTAGTTACTTAAACTATAATACACTTCATTTTATGGAGCTTCCAAGTATGTACAATGTACATTGTACGTATATAATTTCATGGATACATATCCATGTCGCTAGCGAGGTTTTCTGTGTCCTCAGCACTTTCGATCTCGACTTCGAAATCCCAAAAGGCATAGCCAAATGTTTATGTCAAAATAAACAATATCAAGTTGCTGACCTCAGCAAAGAAATTTGAACAGCCGGACGATCGAGTTCGTCGTCTTTTAGGTCTTAACGAATCGCCATTAATGAAAAATAAATAAAGAAACTTATGTGCACCATACCAACGGAATGTGATATTTGTACCCTTGGTGTCCTCTAGATCGTTTGGAATAAACTCAGTAAAGTGGTATTTCTCAGCGGGCACTCTAGTGTTACTGGACATACTTGTTGTGAAAAATAATCTCCCGCTGCGATTTTACTGATAGTTCCCTAAACATACATGTGGCAACACATGTATTTCGTATCGTCAAACATTTTAACTGTTCACTGAGTTTTTGAAACCTACAAAGTTTTTATTTGCGATTTGAAACAATTTTTAGGGGGGAATAAAGCTTTTAATAAAACGACTTCAATTAAAGATGCACAAAGGAAATATCTTTTCAATAAGTCACTTTTTTAGTAAGTATTTAGGACATCAATATCAATATATTTATACCCGTTACTCGTAGAGTAAAAGGGTATACTAGATTCGTCGGAAAGTATGTAACAGGCAGAAGGAAGCGTTTCCGACCCCATAAAGTACATATATTCTTTATCAGGATCACTAGCCTAGTCGATCTAGCCATGTCCGTCTGTCCGTCTGTCCGTCTGTCCGTATGAACGCTGAGATCTCGGAAACTATGAGAGTTACAATACTGGGATTAGGCACGCAGATTCCTGAGATTCCTGCGCAGCGCAAGTTTGTTTCAGTAGAGTGCCACGCCCACTCTAACGCCCACAAACCGCCCAAAACTGTGGCTCCTACAGTTTTGATGCTAGAATAAAAATTTTAACTGAAATGTAATGTTCTCATCAATACCTATCGATTGACCCATCGATTTGCCACGCCCACTTTAACGCCCACAAACCGCGAAAGCCTGTGACGCCCACAATTTTCATGCTAGATAAAAAATTTTAACTGAAATGTATTGGTCTCGACAATACCTATCGATTGGTCCAAAATAAATTTGCCACGCCCACTCTAACGCCCATAACGCTTAAATCTGTATACCGCCGGTAGGTGGCGCATTTTAATCTCGCTTTGATGCTTGCATATCTCCATTTAGCTGAGTAACGGGTATCTGATAGTCGAGGTACTCGACTATAGCGTTCTTCCTTGTTTTGATATGTCGAGGACGACGCTGAAATCAACACCAATTTTTGCTCGTTGGCTTTTTATTGTTTTTAATTATAATAACCCGCCACTATTAAAATGTTTTCACCCTTTCAGTGGAACGTTGAGACTTGTAACGCTTTCGGTTTTCCTTTTCGTACGTACATTTCTTTTGATTTTTAATTCGTTGCCTTATCTTGTACAACCCGTCATTATTAAAATGTACACAGGCCTATCACTGGAACGTTGCTCTTGCGTTTTTCCTTTTCGACCACAAGTTTCCTTTTTTTAAATATAAAACACTTATCTTACAAACTTATCGTAAAACTTATTTAAAAAAAAAAACAAAATAAGTAAGTTAAAAAAAATTAATAAGATTAATTTAATAAGAGAACAGAACGCTCAAGACGGCGTACACTTTAGGTTTATTTTTTTGCTCAGCAACACAGCACTTATCAGCAAACTGGACTAAGACATACAAAAAGTTTTTCTGTCTTACTTAAGTTTCTGTTCGTCTGGTATTTTAAAACAAATATATCTTAAATGCGTATCCACAAATATAATATATACATGTTTATATACTAAAGTGCCTTAAACATTATTTAATTATGGACATCCTTTTCAGTTATTTGGAAATGGAAATGGAAACTAAAGAGAAAGCATATAATTTTATTACTCCTCATTGTACGAAAATATATTTTCTAAAATACTCAAATCATTAACCTTCTGATAAATGACTAGCACTAAATACTTTCTTTTGTTATTCATGAATATTTGTCCTTCAAATTATTTATAACTTTGGGGGCGGATTCAAATCATTTTTATGTGCATTACGTCATTATTTCAAGGAGAAGACGATAACCAAATGATTTTTGCGGTGGAACGCAAAATTTAATTTGATCTTCTAAATTGATAAAAACTGTATCTTTTTTTAAAGCTTTGTATTGACTTAACATAAATACTTCATAAAATGAATTATTTAGTTAATTTTGGCATCGCATTTCTGCTCTTTATGGAACGTAGTTGAATCCTTTGTAACTTATGGGATCCAGCTCACCATCATGGTTAGACCAAAGCAGTAGGTAAGTTTCGGACCCATTTAACTTTGGTGTATTTATAACGCGCTGAAAGTACCGCTTTGACCAATTTAAAAAACATTTTAACTTGTTCTCTGCAGTTGTTCTGAATATCATGACTGTTTACGTCAAAAGGGCGTTTAATTTCAGGAGGCAGTGTCGAGCGGCAGTTTTATCCAGGTGTCTTCATCTCCCGCGCTCGCACTGCCGTCCGCTCTCCATCTCCGTCCCTCCCCTAAGTCACTGCTCCGCCCTGGAGCGCCTAAGTTAAGTTAGGCTTAGCTAGTTCATGTTTCAAAACCACCCCGCTGATCGCTGAAATAGCTGAAGTCCTAGAACGAAGGGTACGCAAAAACACTGGGGTACTTTGTTGTTTTTTGCGCGTCGTGCATAGGTGCACGACTATTAATTCGCTCAGCCTGTACTTCTTGGAATTTTTACGAACGTAAGGTTAGGATCATCATCATGAATATATTGTCCTGTAGAGTATAAAATATTTTAATTGGAGAACTTAAAACAAGTTTTGTTTTAATAAATATACACCCATTCAAAAGTACCTCTTGTACTTCTCAAAGTTAAACTCGAAAAATATAATAAACCTGTTTGTTTTTTGGGTTATAATAGATCTAGCTAAAAAATGGCTAAGGCGGCTACACCACTGACCATCCCCTCTCTCCCGATTCTCTTTTTACTTTCTCTCTCTCTCTCTTTCTCTCTATTGATCGAGAAAATATACGGTCGGAAAAAAGAACAGTTGTATTTTCAAAGCCGAGGGGAAAGGTCTGGTACTTTTAAGGTCCGCATTCTGGAAGAAAAGGAAGACGAAGTAATAAAAATAAGTCGACAGAGTGGTCTAGTGAAGCCTTAATTGTAAAAGTGATATTGCAACCCTACGAATATTATAAAGTGCGTAAAAATTTATGAATTAATAGTTTTTTCATTCCTAAAAGATCTTTTGCGTATTTGTTTTGATTGTGAAATTAAGTGAAACTAATTAATAGTAATTTATTCATAATTAGTAGGCAAATATAATGGAGGCAGACTTGTCTGGAGTGAATGTTACGTGCCTGATGTGCGAGCAGACCTTTGATGCGGTTGAGAAGCTGGACGACCACCTGACCACCCACTTTCCACAGCCGGTGCCCCATCAAAGCCATATCTGCGATCTCTGCGGGCGCGGAATGCGATCATCGCTGGAGCTGCACCAGCACTACAAGAGATTCCATGAGACTCATGTGGCCAGCACAGATGGGCATTTCCAATGTCATCTTTGCGACAAGGTGTTCCTCCTTCAAGATCATCTCAGTGTCCACGTAAAGATCGAGCACTCGGCAGATGGCTACCGTCCGGATGAAAAGTCATCGGAGTGGGATCAGAACCAACGTCCCTGCTTTTATCTAACCAACGATGATAAGCTGGATCACATTTTTTGTCCACCACCCAAAAGAACATATCCGCCACGCTCACCCTTCTTTAATCCGTAAGTCCAGATATCCAATCATAAAAACTCTTGTCCATACTTACAACTTTTCCTCTTCCAGAAATCTTTGGCTTGGAGCGGACATCTCCTTCATGTAGGGAAGTTTTGAAAAACTTACCACTACATTTACTCCGTCTTTGAAATATGAATATAACAATCAAATATTTTATATAATATAAGCATTTTGTTGCCATTCCAAATGATTCTCAAATAATTTAGAGCTCTTCACCAAAACGAGTATAAGGTTCGTAAATAGTACACCGAATGTGCCCTCCGTATGAAAATAAAACTCACTGCAATACGATTTAATTAAAATTTATTTCGCTTTATATCTTGATGTACTCGCGTATGTATAAAGTATAGTACAGTATATGTATATGGTTTTTTCGATTAGTTAGCCCACTTAAAGAACGACAACCTGGGGTACAGGTATGGGGTCTCTTTATTGATACAGTATAATATTCCTTCTAAGCTTAAGACATTCACTTCCTAGCAGTCCGATCAATGCAATACACAATACCAAATCTGTTCCCGTACATTCGTTTGAAATAAGTTCGCTAACTACAGTGCAACAAAGCGCCTATCCTTCGACTTATAAATAAATAGAATTGTCTGATAGATTCCTCTGGATTCCGGGAAATAAATACTACTGAAAACAGCAAACAAATGGGATAAGCGATAACAATTTGTGGGGCTGAGAGTATGCAGAATGTTAGAAGCAGTTGGAACGAACGAAAATCGCGTTAAAATATAATTTACAACAGTTTCGTTGGTTTATTGCATAAAATATCTATAATAAATAACAGTGCAATCCGCTTGCAGGGGAGCTCTACTGACTGGTTAGCTGGACTTTTGACTAATGTTCGCCTAAATCGAACTGGCAACGATTTCTAGTTACAATTGTGACAAGTTAGCTCTCTCGCATTTACTATGATCTTTAATTGATTTTATTTTATTTTTTAGTGCAACAAATCAACAAATAAATAAATACATGCACTTTAAAATTACCTAAGCCGAGAGAGAGTGGGTAGGGGGATCGGTAAAGGGGTAGGGATGATGGAGAATCAAGTGGATGTAGATGTCCCATACTGGTATCCATTGTGTTGCGCCAGTTTCGCCTGCATTCGCTTCTCGCTTTTAGTCACCAGAGTCTGAGTTTTTAGGTTCTAAGAAACTCGTATTTATGTAGCTTACAATAGTGGTAGGATTTCCTGCTTATGTACTATTTAACCTGAGCCCGAATGTGTTGCAAAAATTCATAGTATGACAAACTAGATTCACTGCGATCGTCGGTTAATCTCTCGATGAACTGGCCCTTGGCCGTGCTCGTGTCCCTTTTTAAATTAGAAAGTGATATTAGCAAGAGCAACCAAGATTTTCATGGGTTTTCAACTCACCTAATTATCTGCACCAGCGCCGAGTAGGGCTTATCGTAGTTGAGTCGCAAAATAAAGCGCTTCAGCACATCGTTCTCGTTGCTCACAACATTTGGCAATCCGTATACATAGTCACCCAGCTCGGCAGTGGAGCTGATGCCTAAAAGTAGGAAGGTTAACAGGGATTCCACAATGTCCTGTCTAGAGTCTTACCCAGCACAGCTTCCAAAACATCGGGTGGCACATTGAGCCCGACATAGAGCATTATCAGTGTGCCGCAATCCATCAGGAATATCGATCGGGAGTCCAAACTATAACGAAATGGGTTGTATATCCGAGTGTAAAGTAAATCACCACTACTCACTGTTCCGCGGATAGTTGCAGGCGCGGCAACTCCGGCAGCGGTTCATCCTCATCCTCGTCGTCGTCCTGCGTTGAACTCACGTTCGAGTTGCGGGCGTGGTAGATCAGCGCATCAATCTTGTACAGCTCTGGGTAGACGTACTTCATCAGCTGGTCCAGCGGAAGCGTCTTCATGCAGTCCATGGCGAAGACGCGATCATCCAGTCGTGTACTTGTGCCCACGCGGAAAGCGGGCTAAAGGAATGAGCAATTAAACCTGGATTCACTAACATATCGTCCAGAAGAACTCACGTGCTTCAGCAACCCAAGGATATAAAGCGGCAGCAACGCCAGGCTGCGCGGGGCTATCAACTGTCCCGACTGACCCGAGGGCAGATTTTGTGCAATCTTGAAGGCGTTGTACACGTCGATCGTGGCGTTGATGAAGGCGTCGCGGGCGTCCGACAAATTGGAGGCCACCGAACGATCCACAGCCATTTTCGAGAGTAGCCCAATAATGGCCTCCGTGTCCGCCGAGTGCATGACCTCTGGCAGCGAAGCAGTCACCGGCAAGCAGACCGTATGTACCCTAATCCGCCGCTCACCCTCGCTGTTCGTATAGAGCAGCGCCGCTTGGAAGCAAATGGTCTTCACGTCCGTAAGGCTCTCGTCGTAGGAAATCTGCATGCCATAGCCTGCGTCCGGATTCACGTTTGGCAGCGAGAGCAGGTCCGTAGAGCGCACAAAGAAGTTGCCGTGGAATGTGTGCACCTGCAGGCCGCGAGTGCAGCGTATACGCATCACCGCTTCGAAACCGATCTTCCTGGTCAGATAGCGCTTAAAGCACGTACGGAACGAGTCTACCATATGCGGCTTGGTCTTCTGGTAGAGCGGGAAGTGGTGAACACAGCCGCCGCTGTGCTTGCTGATGCCAGCTGAAAGGTAGAGTAAAATCGAAAAATAAATAATATATCTATATATCTATTTAAAGAAGTATAAACTAAATGCAACTCCAGCATGCAACTAAATTGGTTATAAAAATCACAAAGAGCTACTTACAGATGGTTGCCATGTCGCTGTACTGCTGGTTCATCAAGAAGAGGTCGCAGGCTATCTGATAGCCAGAGCACTCCAGAGCGAAACGCTTGTAGAAGTCGGTGGCCGGATTTAGGTGGGCTACGTCCTTGGCCGAGCGGTTGTTGGGATCCTCGCGCGGCTCCAGGGCGCCGGGTCCCTTGTTGGGAAGGCACGATTGAAAGACGGTGATGCGGCCGCCTGACGCTTGCTAGAAATACGAACATCCACAATTACTAACTCCTCCCAAGAACTTGAATTAATGCCACTCACCATTAGCTTAAAAGCCACCTGCAGGGCAGCTCCCAAGGCGGAACCCGGATCGTGGGTGTGGGCAAACCGCTTAGGCAGCTGCTTCAGCAGATCCCGCACCAGCTCCTTGCACTCCTTCAGGTTCACCAGCAGACTATCGGGTCGCGGCAGGAAGGGGTCCTCGATGTCCAGCAGAGTCATTTCATGCGGCTGGTTGAGTCCCTCAGCCATGCTGTAGAAGTGCACGAAGCTGTCGAAGCAGATGAATCCCACCTGGGTGCGTGCATCCCCAGGCATCTCGTCCAGGTGACGGTTGAGCACGGCGCAGGCGGCCTCCAGGTAGCCGCTCTGCTGCGCGATAATCGAGACGTCGAAGAGAAACAGGTACATGGCCGGCTGTGGCGGACGCAACATGTACTCCGAAGGGGCAATGAACTCGATGGTGCTGGAGCGCACCTCGGGCCGTCGGGTCACATCGCCGTATGTCTTGGTGGCCGGATCAAATTGGAAATCATCTGGCACTGTATGGTGAAAAGAATTGTAAATTAGTAGCTCCTTTGCCACGTATAGAAATTTCCTTATTTACATTCATTGACTCTGTAGCAGAGATTGCACTTCCACATCTTGCTGTCTACAAAGTAGACGAAGGGATTGATGTAAGTGCGGCACAGCCGGCAGCGTACAATGTTGATGCACTGAATAACAGGCAGGCTCTATGGGAGATACACAATGTTAGAGTATAAGAATTTAAATTGCTTTTTATAAAGTTCTTACGTTTACATCGCGGAACGGGTGTATCACAATGCCCAGCGGCAGACGTGACTTCTGCAGCAAATTGTTGCTCTCGGGGATCTTGGTTAGCGTGCAGCGCATTATGCTCGGACTGCAGTTGATCGACTCGTGGAACTGGTTGTGCAGGACCACTTTTGGCGGCGGCAGCGTTGCTGGTGACAAGATGTGCCGGTTCTGCATAAGGTCGATGGTGTCCTGTCCCCACAATCTGCTAAAACCCTGCTGAGCAACATTAAGTGGAGCAGGAGTGGCAAAGGGTCCTCCGGGTGCCGCCTGAGGTGGCTGCTGAATTTGTTGTCCATAAGCCTGCGGAGGCGCCTGGGCCTGATACTGCAATGGAGCTCCGGTTGGCTGGGCTCCAAACATTCCCGGAGGCGGTGGCTGCATTGCAGACTGAGGGGGAGGTGGTTGTTGTTGTGGCGCTGGCGGATACGCCTGGGTGTAGGGATACGTCTGCGCCTGAGGTTGCTGCTGCGGCGGGGGCAGTAGGGGTTGCTGCTGCGGCGGAGGCACTAGGGGCTGCGCTCCAGGCACCACTGCCTTTGCCAAATTGGGCGGCCAGGCCGCTGATGCCCCTGGAGGCGGTGCTGCCCTCTGGATGTTGTTGTTCTGCTGGTTTTGCTGCTCGGAGTTAGTCGGCGGAGGCACTCCGTATGGGATTCTCTGTCCTGCCTGTGGTGGCGGAGGTCTGACAGGCATCGCTGCACTTCCGAACATCTTGGCCGGGTTCGGACCCAAGTTGGGAGGCTTCTGTCCACTAAATGGCGTCGCCATGGCATTCGGAACTATTGGAGCCACTCCGCTGGCCGCCAACAAACTGCTGGCATCGTTGAACTGCGGTGGACCCGTTTGCGCCGTAGCCACGCCCCTGAAATCTTTCTGCGTCAGAGGCGGGTACTGTTGCTGGGGCGGCGACACTACATTGGCACCTCCATTCGTCCGGTTCGGGTTTAAGTTCAGATTTTCCAGGTTGTTTGTCAGGTTGGCCAGGGATTGGCTCGCGGGTTGAGGCGAAGGACGCAGTCCCGACGCCGGCGGCGGATTGTTAAGCGCTGCGGCGATGGGTCCATGGGCATACTGAGGAGCTGCTCCCATTGGCCTTGGGGAGGCAGTGCGTGAGGAGTTGGCGCTGGACGCCCCATTGCTGCCGTTGGTAAGGGGTGGTCCGTTGACGGTGGGCGGACGCATGTGGGGCGGCAACGTACTGGGCGGCAGTTGTTGCTGCACAGAAGGAGCTGCTCCTGACGTGGGCGGCAAGAACTGGCTCGCAATGCCGCTGTTGAACTGCGGCGGCGGTGGCAGGTTACCCGGTGCTCCTGCTCCCGGATAAGCTGCTGCAGGAGGTGGCTGCTGGAACTGTTGTGGCTGCTTCTGCGGCAGATACGGCTGGCCAGTTGGAGGACCTGGCTGCTGCCGCTGCTGCTGCTGGACGCCTCCTGGCAGACCGTTCACCATATTGTTGCCGTTCAGAGGCATAGG